TAGCGTGTTCCTTTGATTTGAATACTCGGGAGTCGTAGTAGTCCTTCGGCACTATCCATGGCCTTTTTTCCCGATATGCTCATCAGAGGCCTGAAATGACGGTAGCAAATTGAGAGAGATTCATAGCCTTTTCGCACGATGTGAACGTTCGAGGCCTGTTGTAATGATACCTATCTGAGGAACATTCGTAGCCTTTTTGCACGATCTGTTCAGTGGAGGCCTCCTGTAGCAGTAGCACTCCTAACAGTATTTACCTGAAGTGTTGGGTTCATGCCCGAAACCATCATCAGATATCAATAATGCAGGGACAAATAATCCCAGCATGTATAAGATGCAATCACTATGCTTCCACCTACTTCTGACAATCAGTGGTTTCCCGTTTTATCAGAGCGATTTGCCCCTTTTGAACCTGCGAAGCAATCGATTTTATCATGAGGATCGTGCATTCATTTATCGTTTGTGATAAAAATGGCTCAGGTCCCATTCTAGTGACGTTCTTTACTGTCCCGATAACAACAAATAAACAGTATTAAATATTTGCGCACATACAGCTAACAGGACCTATCCCAGGTTCCCAATTGGGTACGTTTATGTCTTGCCAGTGATGAACTGGAGGCGTATTTTTAGCTATAAATTGCAGATCAAACCTGTATTTTCTTTTACGAATAAAAGCTTATCCACGAGACCAACTAGCGTCAATTATGTTGTGAAGGCAGGATGAAACTGTCAAGAGTACTGGCATATGCCTCAATATAAGCTCGAGTTTGGGCGCCGAAGCAGTTTTTCGTTCTCTTTCAAAGATTCGTTATGTTCAGGTTATGTTTAAAGTTAGCTGTCAGCATTATATTTAAGCCTTCTAGTCATTACAACAAGGTTAATTTGTAACTTAACAGACTACAGAAAAACACTCAACTCACAGTATGTCCCATAACATAGTTTTTCATTAACCTTAAGCTTCAGGAGAACATAAAGCGCCACAAGTAGTTCAATTCATAAAGGCCGTTCTTATATTGAAAAGGTGACTTTTCCGCTCAAAGTGAGTTTTTCGTAACAGAAGTTTGCCCCCCGTCGTATCCACACATATAGATGCGCAATGCTATAATTAAACTTTTCTTTTGTTCAAACGAAATCGTGTGCTTGTCGAAGTTGTGGAGTATTGAACACTAGAATCTCCCAAACAATAAATGAGCTAAGGCTGATGAGGTTGATAAAGATCTAGACTGCGAATTCCAGCTTACAAGGGACTCTGCAGACACTTGGTGTTTGTAGTCTCTTCCTGCAAGTTGTGAGTGCGTGTTTACTGTTGGGATTACTTGACTCGAGGACGTGTTCAGTCGCCTGTAGACTATACCGATGACAGCAAAATGACCCAACTACGGTGGCACTGATTGCCGGCGCAGACTGTCACACTTTAAGTGGATATGACATGGATGCAAGAACCAACCTTCGTAATATAAGTGACCTTGTCTTGAATGTCAGGCAAAGTAGGATTACGGTGATGATTTGTAAAGGATAACCGTTAAAATTAGGTTTAAATTACGGGAATAGATATACTTCGCGGAAAGAAACTGCAACACCTGACAGAGAGAGATGAGGCAGTTATAAAATTCTCTGCTCTCTGAGGTTTTCTAGATATTGTTTAACCCGTACATGACCTGAACACGGTGGTAAAGTTTTTGAAGGTTTTTGTCTTTGCCTTCTTGAAAAGATTCATTGTCATCCGAATTGCAACATTTATTCGTCAGATGCAGCCAAAGCCAACATGTGAATGACCTTTTTAATGAAATCCGACTCTCTCATTCTTCAAAGATTTTAGTAATGTTGTCAGTTTGGAGCATTAATTTTGACCGGATGTATTTTGGAAATTAATTTGTGTACTGGATAAACTTGATACTCATCATCGTCTTCACTAGATTCAAGAAGGAAACCGATTGGGATGTGAATCCAAACAGAATCTTCGTTGGATCCCTACTGGACTCGACAAAGGAGTGCCAGCTTCACGAATATTTTTCCACATTCGGAATTGTGACTGATGTATTTTTAATAAAAGGACAGAAGTCGCGCAAGTACGGTTTCGTAACTTTCTGTGACATGGACTCGGTAAAAAAGGTGTTGGCCGCCCATCCCCACGTGTTGAATGAGACGCAGATAACTGTTTCTCTGGCCAGGAACAAGCATCCAGGTGACAGTTGGTAAGTATTTGAAATACGATGGGAAATATTTCAATTTCTTGCCCGATTATATTGATTTTTGCGGAGTTGATT